CTGGAGAAGCTACGGGAACAGAAGCTGTTAGCTAAGTTGAGCAAGTATAGTTTCTGGCAGCGGGAGATTGGGTTCCTAGGACACATTATTTCAGCGGCTGGGGTGTCTGTTGATCCAGAGAAGATTCAGGCTATTTGGGAATAGCCAAGGCCGAGGAATGCTACTGAGATCAGAAGTTTTCTTGGCTTAACGGTGTATTATCGGAGATTCGTCAAGGGCTTTGCAAGTATGGCTCAAGCTATGACGAAGCTGACAGGGAAGGATGTTCCCTATGTGTGGTCTCCAGAGTGTGAGGAGAGTTTTACGAAGCTTAAGGCGATGTTGACGAGCACACCAGTTTTAGCGTTGCCAGAGGAGGGCGAGCCATATGCGGTGTATACAGATGCATCGAGAGTGGGTCTTGGATGTGTGTTAATACAGCATGGGAAGGTGATTGCCTATGCTTCGCGACAGTTGAGGAAGCATGAGGGCAACTATCCTACCCATGATCTTGAGATGGCTGCTGTTGTTTTTGCCTTGAAGATTTGGAGATCTTATCTTTATGGCGGAAAGGTTCAGGTGTTTACAGATCACAAGACCCTGAAGTACATTTTTACTCAGCCAGAGCTAAATCTGAGACAGCGGAGATGGATGGAGTTGGTGGCAGATTATGAATTGGAGATAGCTTACCATCCTGGAAAAGCTAATTTAGTTGTTAATGCTTTAAGTCAGAAGCGAGTGGCTTCGGCTCAAGAGTGTGACATGGAGTCATTGGTATATGAGATCAGTACGTTGAGATTATGTGCTACTTCGGAGGAACCATTGGGTTTGGAAGCAGCTAATCAGGCAGATCTTCTGAGCATGGTGCGATTGGCTCAGCAGTTGGATGAGGTACTGATTAGGGATTCCAAGATTGAGGGTTCTGAGTATCAGGTCTCTGATAATGGGAAGATTCTAGTGCACGGACAAGTATGTGTGGCTAGAGACGAGAATTTGAGGCGAGAGATCTTGAGTGAGGCTCATGCGAGCAAGTTTTCGATTCATCTAGGGGCGACTAAGATGTATCGGGATCTGAAACGGTATTACCACTGGGTCGGGATGAAGAAGGATGTTGCTAGTTGGGTTGCAACTTGCAATATGTGTCAGTTAGTGAAGGCTGAGCACCAGAATCCGAGAGGTTTATTGCAGTGTTTACCCCTTCCAGAGTAGAAGTGGGATATGATTATGATGGATTTCGTGGTGGGGTTACCTACTTCTCAGACCAAGGATGCTATATGGGTTATTGTTAATCGTCTGACGAAGTCAGCGCAGTTTTTGGTCATTAAGAAGACTGATGGGGCGGAAGTTTTGGCTAAGAAGTATGTGTAGGAGGTAGTGAGACGTCATGGAGTACCAGTGAGTATAGTGTCAGACCGAGATCCTAAGTTCACTTCAGCATTCTAGAGGGCGTTCCAGGCGGAGATGGGCACTAATGTGCATCTGAGTACGGCTTTTCATCCTCAGACGGATGGACAATCTGAAAGGACCATTTAGACTCTTGAGGATTAGTTGAGGATGTGTGTACTGGATTGGGGTGGTCATTGGGCGGATCATCTGGGCTTGGTGGAGTTTTCTTATAATAATAGCTATCAGGCGAGTATTGGGATGACTCCTTTTGAGGCGTTGTATGGGAGGCCATGTCGTAAACCTCTATGTTGGACCCAAGTGGGGGAGATGAATCTTTATGATGAAGGTTTTGTAAAGAAGACCTCGAAGAAGATTCGGGTTTTGAAGCTAAACATGAAAGAAGCTCAGAATCGGCAAAAGAGTTATGCTGATAAGAAGAGGAGAGAGCTTGAGTTTGAGGTGGGAGATAGAGTGTATCTCAAGATGGCGATGTTGAGTGATCCTAACAGGTCCATTACCGAGAACAAGTTGAGTCCGAGGTATATGGGTCCGTTTAGGATTGTTGGGCGAGTTGAACCGGTTGCTTATCGGTTAGAGTTACCGGTGATTATGCAGGCATTTCATAAGGTTTTTCCATGTGTCGATGCTGAAGAAGTGCTTGCATAAGGGTGATGAGGTGTTGGCTAAGATTCCCGCAGATCTTCAGCCCAACATGACCTTGGAGGCGAGGCCAGTGAGGGTTCTCGAGAGGAAGGTCAGGCAGGATCGTCGGAAGAAGACTTCGATGATCAAGGTTTTATGGGATTGTGATGGTGTTGAGGAGGAAACTTGGGAACCAAAGGCGAGTATGAAAGCGAGATTCAAGAAGTGGTTTGAGAAGCAGGCGGAGGCTTGAGCTTATCATCGATGGTCCCAGTTTCAGAGTTTGAGTATTTTGTTTCGGTTATTTCATTATGTAATTCGTTTAAGATTGTAACGATTGATACATTTTTGGAGTTTTAATAAGATGAGTATTTCTTATGGATTGATGACTTGTGATGTCATGAAAATTGAAGGAAAACATGAGGTTTAAATTAAAAATTAAAAACTTGACTTATACTCAGGAAGAGAGTATATGAAACACCCTGAGTGACTGGGATGTTTCAGATGGCCTAAGAGAGTGGTCATGGTTGTGACGATATTCCGGAGTGGGAATATGGGTGGTAAGTATGGCATTGCTATGTTGCATGCAAACCACATAAGGTTGTTTCGGTCAGAGATGCTTTTAGACACTTAAACATGATTGCTCGAAGGACAGTTTGGTCCTGGACAACTCGTTAGGGAATGAATAGTTTCCCTGGTACCGAGAGCTCGTAACGTTATACAGCCCAAAGTGTGAGTGATATGGTTATATACCCAGAGCTTGTAAGGTTATATAGCCGAGAGTGTGAGTGGTACGGATAGGATACCCAGAGCTCGTAAGATTATGTGACCCAGAGTGTGAGTGGTATGAGTAATATACCCAGAGCTCGTAAGGTCGTATGGTCCAGAGTGAGAGTGGTATGAGTGTGATACCGATAGCTCGAGGGACTTTGTGGCCTGAGAGTGGGAGTGGTATGGGGTACCCAGAACTCAAAAGACTTTGCGTCTGAGAGTGGAGGGGTATGAGGTGAGTTGTGAGCAATAAGTCTATGATGGGAGTCTAGCATAGTGATTTGATGGAGACCTCGGAGGTCGTTAGTGTATGACCTTGTGATCGGATTATGTTGGCCGGATGGGTCAAGGGAGGAATCAATCATTGCGACGATGATAGTTGAAATTATTACAAAATGGACAGTAACCTAAGATTCGAGGACGAATCTCGGTAAGTGGGGGAGAATTGTGACGCCCGTGTTCCAAAAAATAATAATATAAAAATAGATGTTTATGTCGGGAATTGAAGTAGAGTCGGTTTAATTTCAACTGGGTTACTAAAAGAGCCGATTTATTAATTAAACAAAAGAGGTGGTTAAATTAATTCTCGGTTTAGTAAAATCCTGGTTGAACCCTATTTTTCTCTACATAAAGACACCAGCCTCCTCTCTAGTCGTGACCTGCAAAAGAAAAAGAGACAAAGAGAGCTAAGTTTTGTGAGAGGAAGGAGATAGGTTGAAGTTTGGGTGAAAGGAGAAGAGAGGCAGTCAGAACACGTTTTGGTAGAACAGAGTTTCGACATATCAATTCGTTTCCAAAGGCGACTGTTGGTGTCGGATCCCACACGTGTGGTTCGGGACCAACCAAAGATTGCCACATAGGCAGGATAGAAGCCCACAAAGGATAAGGCCCGTTAGACTCATAAGCCCAAGGACATGGTCGAAGTGATTGCACCCCGAGATAGGGGCGAAGTCGAAGTCAAGATTATTTCGGTTCGTGACTTTTTGGGGTAAAGGGCGAAGCCCATGAAGTTCGGAGTTAATTCAAATTCAAACGTTCGAAATTAAATTCGAAGACTGTAACAGACACATTAAAGAGAGAATAATTGTATATAATTAGGAGTTAAATGTATTCGTTAGTATAAGTAGGAGGGCCAAGAGCCATGTAAAGGACAAGCAATTTTTCTAGCAACTATACTATAGCCATTTCTATAGCAATTAGCAGCTTGATATACATTGATTTTTGTCCTCAAGAATAATTTTTCCCACTAAATAAACAAGTATTTGAGTGTGTGAATCCGATGTCCACATTTTGGCGCCATCTGTGGGGAACTAGAGAGTTCTTGAGTTATCAGATTTTCTTCATTACATTTCTGAGACAAGCAGCAATGTCTGGAGGAAACACCCCTGACACGTCAGTGGCTGAAGCTCTCAAGGCCATGCAGCAAACCATGTCGGAAATATCACAGAAGTTCTCGGATGTGGAGAAGGCTGTAGACACATTAAAAACAACCCAGGTATCCCTTAGTCAAAACGTCAATACTATACAATCTCGTGTTCGTTCTCTGAGTGCAGGGAACTCGGTGGGAGTCCGAAGAAGGATGTTCAATTTGCAAAGCTCCCTTGTGCGAAATGAAACCAATGAACAAACAACTCTTGATACGGCAATTCAGCCGACAGACGGAGAGACGCAGCTCGGAGATGAAGATCAGCTTGTAGATCAGTACGAGCAAGAAATCCTCGACCAGTTCGAGACCATGAGAAAGGTTAGCCAGAAACTAAAAGAAATGAAGTCAAAGTTCCACCAGGCCACTAGTTCAGAGCCGGATATCAACCGAGTCATTGAAGAAACTAGGCGAACACCTTTCATCCCGCGAATCGCAAACTTGAGAATCAAAGATTCTCGGAAGCTCAAACTGGATCCTTACAGTGGACTGGAAGATCCAAAGAGCTATCTCGCAGCCTTTTTGATTGCCGCTGGAAGAGTCGAATTGGATGAAGCTGATGAGGATGCGAGATACTGCAAACTCTTTTCGGAAAATCTGTGCGGCCAAGCACTATTGTGGTTCACCCAGCTAGAGCCAGGTTCAGTCAACAATTTTGACGAGCTATCGGCTGTATTCTTGAAACAATATTCTATCCTTATGGATAAAAGCGTTTCGGACGCCGACCTTTGGAATCTATCATAAGGACCGAACGAGTCACTTCGGGTTTTCATCACCAAGTTCAAAGGGGTGCTATCAAAGCTCCCAAGAATTTCGCAGCAGTCAGCTCTATCTGCCCTACGAAAAGGGTTGTGGCATGATTCAAGGTTCAAAGAAGATGTAATACTTCACAAACCGGACACGATTCAAGACACACTTTTCCGTGCAAACAATTGGATGGAAGTAGAAGACGAAAAAGAGAGTTTTGCGAGGAGGAACAAACAAGCGAAACCAACGGTCACCTTGCCTACCAAAAAATTTGAGCCTAGGGAAAACCAAGGAACAAAAAAGTTTGTATCGCAACCCCTCAACAATATCGTCGGAAAGCAATTTCAAGGAAAAGGAAGGTCAAACACTTGGGTCCGTGACGGAAGTTTTCACTGTGACATCCATAAGGTAACCGGACACTTAACCAAAGATTGTAGCGTCCTCAAAAAGCATATCGCAGAACTGTGGGCCAGTGGAGATCTTTCCAAATTCAAGATAGAAGATTTCGTGAAGGAATACCACGAGGCAAAAGATAACACCAAAGATCAGAACTCCAAAAGACCAAGGTTGTCCAATGAAGAAGAACCTAGGAGTTCGAAAGGAAAAATCAATGTAATTATTGGAGGTTCCAAACTTTGCCGGGATACGATCAGTGCCATAAAGAAGCATAGGCGAAATGTTTCACTTAAAGCAAGCTTGGGCGGAGAAATTGATTTTCAAGGTGCGTCAATATCATTCGACGAAGAAGAAACACGTCACCTCGAAAGACCTCATGATGACGCCCTAGTCATTACCCTAGACGTTGCAAACTTCGAAGTGTCAAGGATTCTCATCGATACAGGCAGTTCGGTCGATTTAATCTTTTTAGGTACTTTGGAAAGAATGAGAATTAGTCGGGCAGACATAGTGGGACCCCCGTCTCCTTTAGTGGCTTTCACTAGTGAGTCAGCCATGTCTCTCGGAACGATCAAACTACCAGTTCTTGCCAAAAAGGTGTCAAAAATCGTGGACTTTGTCGTTTTTGATAAACCGGCAGCCTACAACATCATCCTCGGGACACCATGGATCTATCAAATGAAGGCAGTCCCTTCAACATATCATCAATGCATCAAATTTCCAACTCCAAGTGGAGTAGAAACAATTGTGGATGTAGGATTCACACTCGATTGTCTTTAAGTATTTTTGCGGAGAAAAACTCTAAAATCAAAGGATGAAAATAAGAATTTGAACAGGAAAGTAACCAAGAAACTAAATAAAGCGAAAGAATTTGATAAGAACAAAATAGTAAAGAGCTTTGCGAAATTGCAAGAGAGAAAGTATGTTGTATTGCTTGATTGTCAAAGGTAAAAAGATTGTCCCCCCCCAAACACATGCGTTTAAGGTTGTTTTTATAGAGAAAACATGATCAATGCGGTCATTTACTGCTCATAATCGCATTGACCCGCATTAATCATGTAGGTTACAATTTGACCCAAACGGCTTGAATTTGAACTATCTTAGGCTTCGCGTGGTTCTTCTGAACTCTTTCTTGTTGACTCCGAACTCTCGCGTCTTGACGCTGCCGCGAACCTCGAACAATATTCTCCTCGCTTCGGCCTTTCTCTGTGCGAGCTATATGCTGAATAAGAGCGAACTCCGTACTGGTAAAGATCGAGTTCTCTAATAAACTGAATCGGACTTCCGGCTGGTCGAGCTCGATTCTCCTAATGAAATACCTAGAAATCCAAGAGGATTATTATGTAATAATGACGTGGACAGATCCAAATGGATCCTACCGAAAATGTGTGGGATCCGACCCCAACATTTAGCCCCCCAAGTCTTGCGAGCTGAGTGCTCGGCTTGGAAGACTTAAGTAGATAGTAATTAATGACTCGAGATCTTTAACACTCTGGAATTTCTCCACGTTTTACGCTGTTACGCCGATCTCGGATAATCAGTTGATTTGATTTCCCTGACAATCGTGATCATTAATTTCCTAATTTTATATTAATATCACGGGAAAAACTGTCCCACTTCCCAATATTCTCGAGGCGGTTTTTCGCTTAATAAGGTTAAATGGAACGACGGCTTCTACAGCAGCGTATATTTACCCCCAAAGCTTTTACCGAACCAGAAAAAGAGAAACCTCTTAGTAAAAGATGTCTTCCCCAGCCGTCTATGTTTCAGAAAACGAAGATGACAGTCAAGGAATCCCTGTTCCCAGAGGGGATGAAGTCTTCACCCAAAGGAGAGACAAATTTGGTCCGCACTTCAGGTCTCAGTCGACCTCTGCTTCCCTTGGCGCTCTTCGACGCCTTTGTAACATCCCCCAGGAAATTGAATTCTCTCTTCCTAGACCCAACGAGTCTCCAGAAGTGGTGCGAGAGGGTTACTGTTGTGCGTAAGAAGTCTATTTCAAAGGATGTGGTTTGTTTTTTCCCGTTCCGGAAGTTCTTCTTTTATACCTCCTCCACCTAGGGATTTCCTTTCCCCAAATGACTCCCAACTTTCTTCGATACGTTCTGAGTACTCTGACCGTTTCGGCAGAAGCAGGGTTTTCCCTCTCCACCAGCGAACTCTTAGGGCTATTTCGAGCCCGTGAATCCGCATCAGCGGGTATTTTTTCTATAAACCCTAGCCTTGACCGTAACCTGATCGACGGAATGCCCTCGAATGATGGGCCTTGGAGGAAATACTGGTTCTTTTTCCGAGTCAATCCCCATTCCGTTCAAGGTCTTTCCGGTCTTCTTCTCGCCAATTGGTCGGCTAAACTTGGTTAAAAATCCAACCTTTACTACTTTCTACTGAATTAAGCAAAAGAGATGGAATTCTTAACCCAATACTTTGTTTCAGGGAACCAGACGATCCCCCGCCCAACCGTTGACTTCTTGTCCTTCTTTCGAATCGTTTCTGAGGGTGAAACAAATTGGAATTCCTTCACCCTTCAACGCATTCATAAAGCGGGGCTCGCCATTAAAGACGGTCAGACTCACCCCCTCGATCCTCCTCCCGAGGAGAAAGACGTCTCGAGCCTGAATGCCCGAGACAAAAGAAAGATGCAGGCTGAAATCAAGGCTCTTAAGGATCAGCTATCCAAAATCGGGAGAAAGAAACGGATAGCTGCAATCTCAAGGGTTGGTAACTTCCACAGGAAGACCCTCTTGGTTGATGATGGTTCGTTAGAAGCAGCCCTGTCAGCCGCGGTGGATACTCATGGAGCCGAGATCCTTAACGACCCTCCAGTTGCCACCGCAATTTGCCCTTCCGAACCAGGGTGTGAGGGAGAAATAACCTCCTCTCTTTGTACAAAGAGGAAGGCTCTAGATTCTGATAATTTATCAAGCGAGAGACTTAAAACCGTGATATTAAGTTCTCCGCCACAAGTCTCTAGCCCTCCACGTTTTGTTTCTCCCTCTTCAGAAACTTTAAACTCCGAGCTCCCTCTTCCGGGAGACAGAGTAATTTCAGAGGAAACGGATGAGCCGAGACCGGAGTCTTTCCTATCTCAAGGACTGAGTGTTAGGACTCAAAATCCTTTACCCGCTTCGATTTCAGGTAAGTTTTTACTTAGAAAACGAACATTAGCAAAACTTGCCACGGATTGCATCTATTAATATGCTATTCTCCTCTGCTTCGTAGGCGGAGAAGAGATTGGAGACATCTTCCGAAGTTTCCAAACCATGGAAGGGGCATCCCTTCCTCCTTTTTCGGTTTGGAGGCCGGAAATCCGTCAGATGTTTGCCAATCGAGCTCGCTACCTATCCAGGTTCGGATCTTTTAGATTATGACAATCTCCCTTCCTTAAGTAAAAGCTTTTTCTCTAATCGACACGTTTTTTTTTTACTCCGAAGGCTTTTATGGAGACTAATGGAATGATCTTCCATTACGAGAACCTTCTTCATCAAGCGAAGAGAGAGACCGCAAAGGCTAAGAAGGAGGTTGATGATCTCAGATTAGCCAACCAATCCGAGCGACTTGAGCGGGAAAAAGCACTCGAGTTATCGTTTGAAAATATGAAGAAAACTCTAGCAGCTAGTGGAGAAGGTCTAATGCTTCTCGCTTAGAGGCTGAGCTAGTGGAGAATACGGCTTTGTTCGAAGAAGCAAATCAAGAGATCTAGCTTTTAACTAGGAACAGAGCTCGTGATATCGCTGAAGCCGAACATAATGCTCGAGAAGAGATGAGGGGATTCGGAAGGCAACTTATTCAATCTGTTACGAAGTTCATCAAGGACGAAGAGGTCTGGACTAAACTTCTAACAGATCGAGCCGAACTGAAGAGCAATCTAGACCTGATTAAGGAACTAGAGGCTGGGAGAGTTTCGTTTGAGAACGAGAGGAACGAAGTTGCTGCCGAACTCGCTATGGTTGAGTCCGAGTTATCCTCGGCTTCCCGTCCTACTCTCGATCTGAAACAATTTTCTTTGGTATTTGGAGACTCCCCATCTCAATTCGAGGTAGGTGAAGGTTCTCGGCCACATGAGGGTTCTCCAGAGGTGTAGGAACGTTTTTTTTTTTTTTTTTAAAGAAATGTTTTGTTGAGTCCATGAGGATTATTCCGTTTGACGGAAATATTTTGTTCAATTAGTGTGACCGAACACAACCATGTACATGCTCTGGCATATGGTTCTTTTTTTTTAGCAAAAACGTTTGGACATGATTCTAGGTTTGCAAGTCCTAGCCCGCCAAAGAGGTTTTATGAATTGTGAGAGATGAGCTGATCAGGCTCACTTGCCTTTTTTAAAGAAAAAATCTTAATAAGTATTTCTCCTCGGTCTCTCGAAGGCGAGGATGGAGCTCGGCTTAAGTTTTCCTTTTATATCGAGGGATAAGATTTATAATTCATAAGAACTTTGTCATAAATACGACCAGGCAATGATTTCGATCGTTGCCCATGATGGCTTCGGAATCGCTGGGCCGCTTTTAATTGGATTTGAAGCCTGCTCTAATAGGCCAACAATATATAATTATTTCTAGAAATCTGAACCCCTTTCTCCTTAAAAAGGGATTCCGAAAGATCACCATAGCTTATTATAAGAAAAAACTTGAAAAGATGCCGCTGTCTTCTTTCAGGGAAGGAAAGGGTCAAATGTTACGACTTCCTGGAAAAGGTTCCTTTTCTATCTCTTAGTCTTCTCAGAAAACTAAAACTTCTTTTCTTTTGGTCATTTGACAAAATGTTTGTTTAAACAGATCGTCGCTGGAAAAGGTTCCTTTTCTATCTCTTAGTCTTCTCAGAAAACTAAAACTTCTTTTCTTTTGGTCATTTGACAAAATGTTTGTTTAAACAGATCGTCGGGAGACACAAAGCTTTGTGTGATAAGAGACAAAGAATCGAAAGGAGGCGCCGTGCTCTTGATGAGCGCATAAAGAGGATAGAAAGAGAGATCCTTCGCTTGGAATCTGAACCGCACGAATGGGAGAGGAATGGTCTAGACATCGTGGCCATAATGCCTACTTGCCTCCGAAGATTCCTCCGCATGCTGGATAAATTTCACCGTTTATCCTTGGCGACCAGCGATGGGTCCTCTTTTTTTTCATGTTCCTCAGAGTTCCGGAGACTTCCAATGTTAAGAACTGAAGAAAAAGAGGAACCGGAGACGAAAATTGTTGATGATTTCTCCGGCCCTTTTGATTTATCTTCCGACGAGGGGCTATCCTCGGAAAGCTGTTCGGGATCTTCCACCTCGCTGGAGTCATTATCGGGCGAAGACTTTTGATCGAACACTTTTCCTATTTATGTTTGTAAAATGTCACTGGTCTTGAATCCCAGCAACATTAATTACATTTCCCCTTTCGCTCTAAATTCGCCGATTTATTCAAATCTCATTTAATGCGTTTTATCTAGGGAATATAATTAGCAATTAACTCGATTACATTTGCCATGAAAATCGTAATTTCAGATTTGGGAAATCGTCAATTAATCCTCTTAAATGCAATCGAATAATTTTTCGAATATAAAGTGGGTGTAGTTTGTCATTGAATTTCAACAACGATTCTACAAAAATGTTTGAGCAAGGAAATTCTTCAGATTTGTTCAAATTGATGAGCGCTGATCCTTCGAGGACGTCGGACATCGAGCTTATAAAAGCAGGAGAATCTGGCGAACCAAAAGATTCACAAACGTTGAAGAAGGGTACCAGCATTCAGGTTCCGATCGTTTTTAATCGAGAGATTGTCACCTCAAGATCGTGTTAAGGCTGAGGAGTTTATCAATAAGGTATTCTCCATCCTAGTGATTAACTTCTTTTTGTTATTGCTAAACGTAGCGTTTTATTTTCTTCAGCTTATCACTCGGCATGATGAGCTCGAAGATGAGAAGAAAAAGATTAGGAGACGGATAATGGAGCTAGAGAAGCGTCGCCTCGACATATCTCGCGAGCTTCATCGCCTCGAAGCCCATCCTTCCGATTGGATCGAACTAGGACTTCAGGAGTACGGAAACATGCCAGGTTGCATTATGAGCATCGTTGACCTCGCAGGTCAAGGAGCAGAGTTATTCTGTAATTCAAGATCCTTTTGAGTCTGAGTTTAGCTGGAAATACTTATTTATACATTGTTTGCAATGTACTCTATATTCAATCCAAAGAATAAGAATAATATTCCATGATTTGAAATAATATTTTAATTTTTGTATTATAGCTGGACTCGTTTTTAGCGGGCTGCCTACGTACCCAAAATAGGATCAAGCCAAATCGTAGTTCGAATGTGTTTGCTTTAGCAATAGAACTTTTTCAAGTTGATATGTTCCAAGGCCTCTGAACGGGGTTTCCGTCAAGGTCTTGTAAACGGTATACACCGTTTCGGATTTTTTCAGTGATTTGATAAGGGCCTTCCCAGTTAATACCGAGTTTTTCAGCGCCTTCTTCTTTTGTGTTATCGAATACTCGCCTTAAAACGAAGTCTCCTACATTTAAAGGTCTGTTTTTCAACTTCGAGTTATAGTATCGAGTGGTCAAGTGTTGATAATTCTGAAGTCGAATAAGGGATTGGTCTCGCCTTTCATCGATTGTATCGAGACATCTTCTAATAATTTAGAATTCGACTCCTCGTTAAGTGGAGCTTCGCTCCGGCGCAAACCTGGAACATTCAGCTCGGCTGGGACTACGACTTCCATCCCATAAATTAATGAGAATGGAGTTTCACCTGTTGCTCGCCTCGGGGTTGTTCGATAAGCCCACAACACAGGTTGCAGCTCGTCGTACCATCCACCTTTTCGAGCATTCAAGCGGTTTTTAAGATTGCTGAGAATGGTTTTGTTGGAAGCTTCCGCTTGTCCATTTCCTTGAGGATACCTTGGTGTTGAGTAGCTAAGTTTTATTCCCCAAGCATAACAAAAATCTTCAAAGTCATTTGAAATGAATTGAGGACCATTGTCTGTTACTATTTCGTAGGGAACTCCATAGCAACAAATGATGTGTTTCCACAAAAATGTCTTTACTACGGAATCCTGTATGCTTATATAAGCTTCAACTTCAATCCATTTGGAAAAATAATCCGTTAGAACTAATAAGTACTGGACGCCTCGTGTGGAACGATGCATCGGACCGACTATATCCATTGACCACCTCATGAAGGGGTATGGAGCGGATATAGATGATAGAATTTCAGATGGCTGGTGAATAAGGGGAGCGTGCATCTGACATTTTTTACACCGTTTGGCGTAATCGATGCAATCTGAAATCATAGTTGGCCAAAAATATCCTAACCGCTTGATTTTGAAAGCCATTGCTCGCCCCGAAGAATGAGTACCACAAAGCCCTTCGTGGACCTCGCTTGTCACTATTTCAACTTCGGGTCCGAAAATACATAAAAGATAAGGATCACTGACGCCTCGCTTGTACAATGACTCTTTAATTATACAATAATTAGCGCTGATGATTTTTAATTTGCGAGCTTGCCATTTGTTAGATGGTAGTTCTCCATTAAGAATGAAATTTTTGATGGGTACCCTCCAGTCAGCCCCCCAATCATTAGCGGAAGTATTATCCTTGAGTATAAACTTCCTTGGTTTGGGTTCGGAAGGAATATCAGGATCTTCGATTGTCTCCTGAACCTCTACATCAGCTGGAAGTGACTGTTCGGTTCGAGATGGTTCTTTAATGGGAACCTCTTGATCCTTTGATTTTCTTCTTGGCTTTCTTTTAGGAAGTTCCAGTGGTGGAATAAGTTCGTCATCTTGAGACTTTATTCGTGATCTGGTGACGACAAACGAACTACTTTCATTTCCGGAATTTGGTTTTGGAGTTTCGAAGTGTTCGGCCTCCAAACCGTTATCGTTTTCTGTTTCTTCAACCGAAATACTTCGCGAAGAAATACATTCAACTGGGATTACTCGTCTGAGTTCAGGATCCGAGGTAGAAGCTAGGGCAGCCAAGGCGTCTGCCGAAGTGTTTTCTCCTGTAGGAATTCGAACTAATTCGAATTCTTTGAATTTTCCGGCTAATTTTTTGACAGCCGAAAGATAAGCTTCCATTCGAGGAGCCTTAGCTTCGTAATCTCCAACGAACTAGTATACAACTAGCTGAGAATCGCAATAAGCTATTATTTTTTCTGCTCCAATTGCGAGAGCAAGCCGAAGTCCTGCTAAGAGAGCTTCGTATTCCGCTTCGTTGTTCGAAGCTGGAAACATTAATCGAAATGATTGCTGATTATTTCCTTTGTCGGAGTTTCGAGCCTAATACCGATTCCGGATCCTTGTTTAGAAGAAGATCCATCTACATGTAATTTCCATGTGGAGTCCGTTTCAACAAAGATTCCATCATCAGGTGGTAGTTCGGTTAGAAAATCAGCTAGAACTTGTGCTTTTGCGCTAGTTCTGTTTTTGTATTCTATATCGTACTCACTAAGTTCGATTGCCCATTTTGCCAATCTTCCGGACTGACTTGGACCGTGAAGAATTGATCGAAGTGGATAAGAAGTTAAAAGTTCTATTGGATGAGATTGGAAATAAGGTCAGAGTTTTCTAGCAGATATCACTACTGCTAAAGCTAATTTTTCCATCATGCTATATCTCGTTTCTAGGCTAGTAAGAGATTTACTTATGTAAAAAATTGGCTTTTGTT